TTTTTTTCAGATTCCACATATATGTAATATATGGTATTTTCCTTTCTCTTTCTGGCTTACTTCACTTAGAATGACGATCTCTAGGTCCATCCATATTGCAGCAGATGGCATTATTTTATTCTTTTTTATGGCTGAGATGTATTCCATTGCATAAATATACCACAGCTTCTTTATCCAGTCATCTCTCGATGGACATTTAGGTTGCTTCTGTGTCTTGGCTATTGTATATAGTGCTGCTATAAACACTGGGGTGCATGTATCTTTTAGAATTAGAGTTCCCTCCAGATATATGCCCAGGAGTGGGACTGCTGGATCAAATGGTAAATCCTATTTTTAGTTTTTTGAGGAATCTCCATACTGTCCTCCACAGTGGATGCACCAAATGACATTCCCACCAGCAGTGCAGGAGGGCTCCCTTTTCTCCACAGCCTCTCCAGCATTTATTGTTTGCGGACTTTTGAATGATGGCCATTCTGACTGGTGTGAGGTGATAACCTCATTGTAGTTTTGATTTGCATTTCTCTGATAATTAGCAATTATGATGTGCCTGTTGGCCATTTATATATCTTCATTGAAGAACTGCTTGTTTAGGTCTTCTGCCCATTTTTGGATTGGGTTTTCTTCTTGTTGTTATTAAGTTGTATGAGCTGTTTATGTATTCTGGAGATTAAGCCTTTGTCAGTCACATCATTTGCAAATATTTTCTCCCAATCGATTGGCTGTATTTTGTTTTGCTTATGGTTTCCTTTGCTGTGCAAAAGCTTGTAAGTTTAATTAAGTCCTATTTGTTTATTTTTGCTTTTATTTCTATTGCCTGGGTAGGCTGCCCTAGAAAAACATTGCTAAGATTTATGTCAGAGAATGTTGTGCCTATGTTTTCTTCAAGGAGGTTTATTGTGTCTTGTCTTATATTTAAGTCTTTAAGCAGTTTTGAGTTTACTTTTGTGCATGGTGTCATGTCCATCTCTTTCTGGTTTCCTTGGCTCCTTCACTCATTCCCTAGTGCCAGCATTGCCCTTGACCTTGGGCTGGACACCTCAGACTGCTCCTCCACTGCTGACCTGGCTCCCGGGCCCCTTGGGTTAAGCAGGCAGTGTGGCATGTCCTCCTGCTAATTGAGTCTTGCCTCCAGGGCGTTGCTAGCCATTAAGGTCACCTCCTTAGACAATCCTGTTCCAGAAAATGCGGTCACCTGTGCAAGCCAAATTTGATGAACCCAATCTTTCGTGGAGACGTGAGAGAAACAGGCAGTCAGGTGGGCCTATCAGCCCCAGTGCTGGATGCCCCAGCCTCTGAGTCAGCAGGACTCAAGACCCAGTCTTAGACGAGGAGAATCCTCTTGTGCTTGGTTAGATAAACATACTTCCTCCACCAGGCTGGTCCACTCTTGCCGTCCTTAGGCCTTGGCAGTGGGAGTTAGGGTGGGGCACCCGTCTTCACTGTGCATCCACTGCATGTGTTCCATCTGTGGCACCCTGTCTTCACTCTGAACTAGCTGTCTACAGAGACTCGTTTCAGGAGAGCACTGAAATTTCCCCCTGGTGATCTGCATCTTACTCAAACAGGTCAACATGCACTGTTAGCATAACTAACTCAATGCATGAGTGCACCCATCAATGAAG